ACCAAAACAAAATGTTGTGTTTGTAGTTTGATAATAAAAAAACAGGATTCATTTTTACTAGTGGACGCCGTGTTTGTGGACTTTAAAAAAGTAGACTTAAACGTAGTGGACATATTTGTATGGATAAATCATATTGGCATCATTATATCTATAATGTTGCAATGGCGTGTTTTTGATACCAACAGGAAATTTGATACACTTGCTAAGTCAAAGCGGCTTTTTTATTTTGGTGATACCTAACAACTACTGAGTACCGACCGCAACGGTGGTACACTGTAGTATTATAGGCACCGAGTGTAAACGATAACACTAAAACAATGAAACGTATAATGTATGCCTGAGGTAATGCCATTATAATTCACAAACATGGAGAGTAAACCATCAGCTTTACATCCATCGTATGTTATTATAATGACGTACACGATACAAACGAATCGTGTAATGCTCGTTATCGCGGTTCATTCTTGTCGGTAAATCTATGATACGGATCGATACTGCAGTTTGCGTTTCCAAAACTATAATTTAATCAGAGAGCGTGGGTTTATAAGCATAATTTATATTACCTATATACCTTTAATATTATATAGGTAATAGGTATATGTATATGTATAATAAAATATAGTGTCGTGCGTATATAGATGGAGGAGACGTTTTTGAGAGAAGGGTGGCTGCTATGAAGTGTGAAGCTGCAGTTTCGTAGTAAGCAAAATCGTATTTCTATAGAAAACTGATAAAGAGTAGGTAGTAATTGATAATGATGTGCGGTTGTGATGTTGGAGAGGGCATCTGATAAAAATGCTAATTCTCTGAACTTTCTTGTCTGGCAGTTTTTAGACTCGCCACGTCACGCGCCGTTATGAACGATGTGCACGGCTGTACCGCCGTTGAGTGCAATCGATATCATACGATTTAAGTGTTTCGAAGGAAACAAAAGGAAAAAAACCAAATCTAATTATTCTTCGATATCCAATTAATACACGAGAGTTGAATAACCCTATTATCTCCTGATGTCTCATGACAAATTTTTATTTTTTTTGACGGGGGAAAGGGACGCATAAATAGGATTTTAAATTATTTTCGGAGAAATATCGTTAATGGCTTGTATTTTCCTGCTATTACAGATGTAGTTCAGGGGCGTAATTAGGGGTGACTAGAGGGATAGATAACCCATAACTTTTATTGTGATAAAAGTATTGGTAATGACTAATGACCATTCATGTTTGCTAGAAACATAGAATAACAACCAAATCCCTACTTACGCCACTGCAGATTTGATTATGACGTTATCAGATACATAAACACATTTATGATCAACAAATGTAATCTGACGCCAACACGCGATCAAAAGTGCAATAAAATTGGAAATAAGTTCTATATGTACCTATTGAAGGTTTTGTAGACATGATGATTTTATGTAAATTAATAATATTATAATTTGATAGGTACCTACTTATACAACTCCTATATCGTTATAATCGCAATACTGCCGAAAATACGTTATTTAAAAATCAATATATTTTATAATAATACAATTGTGTGTCTAATGTCCAAAACAAACTGCACAACTAACTGAATAAGACCAGTGGCATTCGAGATGTGATAATATAAACATTAAACACAGTGTATTTCAAAGTGATGCATTGGCTATAACAATATATAAATATTCCAATGTGATACACTTGGTATGGAGTTTACTCCATACATTACAAAATATAGTCAATAGATGCTTGGTGATTAATTTCAATAAAAATCATAATTTTTACCAAACGATGTATATTTTAAAGTTATGGACTTTATATAATATAGGAAAACAATTAACTCAAAGTGAATATATAATTAGTTTATTGGTTATAAACTACATAGCATGGAAAACAAATTAACTCGTTCAGTAAGAATAGTTACATTTAAAATAAAGTTATTCTTTATGTAACTTAGTTAAAAGCCACCTAACTTTTGCTATTTATATTAAATGCCAAACGGTTTAAATTCGAGCGCTCTCGTTCAACATTTACATAATATTATTATCATGTTATAGCGTTCGTATAATAATATATAAGCACGTATTATTTAACGATCGTCGAAATCAAATGAAAATCATCGCATGGATGATTATTTGATTTCCGGAGACCCACCCCCGTAGTTGAGCCACTATTTTTATTTTGTTTCCGTCGCCCGCAGGTATAAGGTAAACTCATTATACCAGCGTGTATAATATAAATTATAATATTACTAATATATCTACAGACGCGAAGGTAGGTAATGCTGGCGAGGCGAAGAACCGATTTCAGATTAAAAACTTTCAATGGTATTTTTTCGTCACAGATTGCATCGATCGGCTCTGACGGGTGTGGACTAACGAGTTTGAATGTTTATTGTTTTTGTTTATCGGGTTTATCTGATTTTCCGTGAATTCATCTTTCAGCGTTTTTTTATTTTAATTTTTTTTTCACCTTATCGATTTTACGAGTCAAGTTATTTTTTGTCATTACTCGGGCCCCATTTCGTCATAACGACGCACTCGAAAGCTTATTGAAATTAGAAGCAATAACCAGCGACTTCTTGTATTTATTTTGGACGTCGCAAAAAAGAACACCGACGATAAAATGTAACACATAACAAAAGGCTCGTAACAATATACTTTAATATTTAAACTGGAAAAAAATGTTTTGAAATTTACATATTATGTATACTGTTTTACTTATAAGTTACAATATAGGCTGAACAAATAACAATTATACCATGTAAAATAGATAGCTTTACCGATGGGCATCACTATAATATAATATACGCACTATGCTACTAGGTACCCACATTATATCGAGGATTTTCAGAATATTGTGGTAATAATTATATTTGAAAATGTTATGGTCTAATAATGAAATTATTGTTCATTAACGATCATCAATGATTTTTATATACAATTTTAGTACTATCTATCATCCTTATTTATTAAAAATATAATTAATTGTTAAGTTTCAATATTTATAGTTTTGATTTTAATTAGATTTTTTTTATTGATCTATAAGTACGGCAACTATGGCCATTAGCTGTTGTTGGGGAGGGGAGGGGTGTTACGGTTGGATTAGAATTCTTGTATGTATGTGTGGCAAGAATTGTTCACTCACTCACTACAATCGTATATTTATATTAGATTACATTGAAAACTGAACAACTCTTTCTTTTTTATTAGGTACATACTTTTTGCACAACGCTAACCGAAGTATAGTGCACCATGGTTTCTCGAGAACGATGTTTAATTTTTTTTTCATTCTCAAGCCACATAAATAAGCACACAAGATCAAAGATCCCTGCTTTAAATATAGTCGGAAGGTAAAAGTCAACCCTAACTCACAAGTCACGGTATACATGCGAAAGCGTTGTAAATAACGCTCGTTTCTCGGACGGAAATGAAACCTTAAATGAACTCTGCAGATGTCGTCGTGGAGGAATTATCTGAGTTTTGATAATATTTCGGATTCAGACGTCAGTGCTTTTGATATCCTTTAAATTAAGTTTCGCGATAAGATACAATGAAAATTTCATACTATGGCATGCCAGCTTAAGTATTGTTATATTATCTTTAGCCACATATGTGAGAAACGCCATGCTATACGTGTATGATATTGTACAATGTACACAAACTTTAAGAATTTGATGAGCCAAGTTTGAAGGGAAACAAAATAACCTCTTACCTGTAAGGTGTATTTTTGTAACGAAGACATGGTTCCAAGTCTCACCGTGAATGTTTGACGGCATTTATTTTATGGATATAGCTTAAATATTACTTTTTTTTCTTTATTAATATTAAATACACAATCTGTACCTCAAGGGTACAACAAGAGTATTAGCTAAAATATAAACAAACAAAATAACATGAAAAGCTTGATAAAAGCAGCCACCCAGTGATGACACTTAAAAATTGAGGTTATAATTAGGTTTTCTCATAGACACACACTATGTTTATTGATTAATTTTTTTTTTTTTTTTTTTTTTTTTTTTTTTAATTTAAAATTATGATATTAAGTCAGCATATCTCTGCACCAGTTGCGTTTTAGTCGCCTAGGAGGATTTCCCGGAATAACATTTGATGAGAGTGTTTTGACTAAAGGATTTGAGTGAGTTGCAAGCCTTTTATGAAATCTTTTATAATAAATAGCAGCTACTTCTTTAATAGTTTTAATTTTTAGGTCTGTGTGGAGAGTATGATTGGAAACATATGGGGGGGAGTTTGTTAATTTTCTTAATGTTATGTTTTGAAAAGTCTGAATGCGATTTGTATTTGATTTTTTTGCGTTTCCCCACAGTTGGATACCGTAGGTCCAAATGGGTTTAATGAGGGATTTGTACATTAGTAGTTTTATATTAAGGTTGGTGTGTTTGTTATTGACTAGTAGAGATTTAAGCATACGAAGTCGGAGATTTAGTTGGAGTCTTTTAACACGTGTATGTTGTGCCCATGTTAGTCTACGGTCAAGGGTTAAGCCAAGGTACTTGACTGTCGGAGTGGACGGAATTTGCGTACCAAAGAGAGTGACTGGCGGGCAGTGTCCTAGCTTAAGGGTAAACGTAGTGTGATTAGATTTGGTTTGATTAATCTTAATCCTCCAATTCTTGTACCATTAAATATTACTAAATATTATTACTAGCTGTTTTAGAGAGAAATGGCTATTGAATAAAATGCCTACTATGGTATGATATATGTGACTTTTAAAATGTATATTAGCACATCAAAACAACTTAACATAAATAAATTACATACAGTTTTCAATCAAATATTAGAAAGCAATTTGAAAGCGATAATGACCTACAGGTGAAATTTAAAAAAATAATTATCCACTATGCTATGCTCTAAACCTACATGCAGTTAGGTATATATACTTACAATAGTTTGTTATTGAGTTTTTCATCCTGATATTTTTTGTTAGGAAAATGTATAGTTATAGTATAATGAACCTACCACTCTGTGTATCATGCTATTAAATCCAAACGCTTGTTCACAGGTGACAAATGATGTTGTGATACAACAGCAACAGCCACATTCATCCCATCAGCAAACTCAACAAGAACAACAGCGGCAGCTGCAAGCACAACAGCAACAGCAGCAGAAGCAGCGTCCCACGCCGAGCGCACGAAGTCGGCGACGGTTGGCCAAAGTGTTGGTGGCACTGGCCGGCGTGTTCGTCGCCTGTTGGTTACCATACGCCGCAGCTCTACTCTACACCAATTGGTTTTTTTCATCATCACAAGACGGCGATGTCGACGAAGGCGGCAACAGGCACGCAGTCCACCGATTGGCCACCGTGGCCGCTATGCTTCTGGGCCACGCCCACTCAGCCGTCAACCCTGTGGTGTACTGGTGGCTGAACCGGCACACGTTACGCGCCTGTCCGTGGTGCTGGTCCTCGGGCGATCAGTTTGACAACGATGACGACGACGACGATGCCGGGTTCGGATGTGGAGCGTTGGGTTGCGTCGTCGGCGGGGCCGTCATGGCCTTCGGATGCGGCAGGGGTGACGGCAGTTGCGGCGACAGCGGTGCCATCGATTGCGGCGGCGGCACCGGTTGTCGGCAGTCACAGAACCACACGCCTACACGGCTCAACCGGTTGCTGTTCCACCGACAGCCCAACAACCACCAGCGCAGTCGCCAACCGTCGTCCACCAACGAGGCGGCGCTGGGGCCGTTCAACCCGCGGTTCGCCACTCCGAAGAAGCGACCACAACAGTTGCCCGTCGTCAAGAACCCTGTCATGCTGTATTACGCGTGAATTACAGCTCGACCCCGCACCAGTTAACCCATCCCACATTCCCACCTTTAATGCACAACACTATCGATCCACGCGATAGGTTCTCACTTGTCGTTTACACGTCATTGTTATGTAACTCGTAGCGTGACGTTACTGAAACGATGACACCACATCTACCACCACTGATATCCATATCCGACTTTTTATCCGCACTCTTACAATCGTTTTGTCGAACTTCCAAGTCCGAAACACGCCCACACCCTGATAACGAAAAACGAAATTGTTAAGCCTGGGTCCTGAAACTGAAAAAAGTAATTGTTTAATACAAACAATTTGTTTTTACAAATTTAAATTGCAGTTGACATCTTTAAGTCGTCGTGCTTGTGTGACCTTGGACCTCAGACTTTTCCATTACTATCTGAGTATAACTGTGCACCAGTTGTACCTTCTTCGACAACTAGTAAATATCGTGCGATACACCTTCAAATTCGGTGGGTGAAGCTGGATAGGTCAGAATGACAGAATATAATAATAATATGTTTATGAACAAATACAAATTTAGATTTGATTTCTTGTAACAACTGTACAGTTGTGTACCTATGCCGTAAAATATTATGTTATATTGTATTTTATATTAAACAAAAAGGCAACACAACATCTACAACTGGTATAAGGATCAAGGAATAAAGAGTGTGTATAATTTGGTAATTTTTCGTTACGCCATAACTTTTAGACGTGGTACGTCGACGTCGAGCATGATGGAGGTCATCCTTGACCACATCCTTCGTAAGTATTTTGAGAGAACGGATTGGTACGAGTATTCTAGAAAAACAAGTTTATCGGGGTGTTTTTTTGAACATATTTAGGTATGTCATGTCACCATTAACTTAAAAATACGTTTCTATTTTACTATTAACTATTTCCGTTGCAAAAGAAAAAATAATTTGAAGTGTTACGATTCACTTCTCAGCCACTATAGTTTAGCGTAGTATATTATTGTAATAATGTTATTATTCTAATCCGTATTCGGTTATTAAGAATACAAATGTTTAATGTGTTTTAATCGATAATTTCGACATTTATTCATTGTTTGTGTATTTGTGTAAACTATTTTTGAACTATATAATATTTATGTGTTATGTGGTTTTTCGTTTCCCGAGTGTAAAACACTCCGATAAATATGTATCTCTACGTCCATTTTAAATATTTTTTTTAATTCTTATTAATTTAAATGCATTACAGATCAAACAACGATATTATATAATGTTTATCATCAAATTGGTCGTATGTCGACTTCAGTCGATATGCGGACGAAATTATACTTTGCATGAAGTTATAAAATAAGAATTTAAATGAAGTGTAGTTTAGGTAGGTATAGTATATTATAATATTAATAATTCCGTTATCGACCAAACTTATTTTTCTCCGTTCTATGATATTCTTCTCTCGGCCAATAATAGGTACAAATTATTATTTTTTTGACTTTCGATGGATTTACATTAGATACCTATAATAGGTATAGATAGTAGGTAGGTACTCTAAATTCGTCAAAGAATCGAATCGCTTGTGCTCCTCGCCGTTAAGACCAATATATCATATTCACGATTTTCATCGCTGTCATTTTCTGCCGAAATTTATAATACGTTGAAAAATAAGTCGTAAAAATTTTTCCGGTTATACGGCTTCCAATATTATACAAGATATCGACTGTTAATAAAATTGTTATTCCTGAACGTGTAGAACTACATAACCATTGCGATCGACTTAAACGGATAGGCAAGTCCATTTGGTATGTATTATAATACTTTTACGTGTAAAACAAACGTCAATCTCTATTTTTAAACAAACATATACTGAGAATGGGAATATGCTTTGTCGATTTACCAACATCCGTTTGCTTTACCTGTATCCGCAAAGACTTTATCAGAGCACTAAAATAATATATTATACAATGGATAGCCGACAGATATAAATAAAACATTTCCGTTCAAACGATTCTTTTTAAACGGGCGAAATAAAAGTACAGACGTGTAAACACACGACGAATATATTTTTATTCGTATCGAAAATAAAAAATCCGAGACTGGTGTATTGCATAATGCAAATTGTATTACAATCGGTGGCAGCCGTAGTATTAATTTATTGGCCGAGGGATCAAATAATCGTTCCTTCTCGTGTATTTCATAATTATTATTATCGTACACATGTATTGGAAGTACTATGTGCCTTCCAAATATATAGTACGTACACCACCATTACACACCTTCACTACACTACAGTCTACAGGGTCCAATTATTATTATTACTATTATTATTACATAATATATTTTCACGTTACTATATTTTATTGTTCTATACACTCGAATATTTCTGTGATATAATAAATTGTATCATTCGGTACTCGGTAGTACAACGTTTCGAACAATCATTCATCGCACTGACAAAAACAAAATAATACATTTCTATAAAAAAAATTCTCGTTAAAGTAATATCGTTATGGTTTTTTGGACGTTTATTAATACTATCATCCGTGACCTACGACCACGGGTACCATTGGTTTTTACCCGAAGTCTGTTATTGTAGGTTCCTACTTTTTTACAGTGGCATTATTATATTATAATACGACGCAATAAGACACCCAATCGACATTTCTACGTTATATTATATTTCACCCATACATTATATAATAATATGCAATGATCACACTGTACAATTTACATATTATATATAATTATCGTACTTGATTTTATAATATTATAATATTATAGTATAGGTATTATAATATAGGTATGTATTGTGTTTGTATATACAAGTATTATATCATTGCGTCTTTGTTACGTCTATATTTTATTTTTTTTCAATCTTCCTCGTTCTTTTTGATAATTTATTTCATACATTATTATATCGCTTTACGGTGTATTTTATATAAATATTTCAACATGATGTAATGTATGATGATAATTAATAAAAATATAATATATTATATGTGTACTGAAACTGATGTATTATATTTATATCTATCGATATAGGTTACATTGATAAAATAAACATAGGTATGACAATTAAATATAATTAAATAAGATTGCGCATATATTATAAAGCATAATAAGTATATATTATAGAAGTACCTACCTATAGCTAGTGCTCTAATAAGAAAATAATTGTGATGTCTATGTCCAACGTCGCTATTTTTAAACACAGTTAAACGACAAATTAATAACTAGAAAAATGTATGTAATTATCTGCTCAATGAATTAACAGACAACGCCATAATCGACGTACAAATCGTCAATCATATAGAGGCTCTAATGAAATCCTAAAATATAATTTACTATACATTTTTGTCTGGATCGTGCTGCTAAAAACTGAAATGTGCGCAATCATAATATTGTATGTACTATTTACTATAGACTACAGTACTACATACAATACCCTCTGTGGACTGTGACGACAAAACATGAAAAATAAATTAGTTTTCCGCGGTGTAGGCTGTATTTTATTTATGACTATATAAATATTGTTGGTTTATTATGTTACCATGCTATGATAGGACGTTGATGTGTGTTCAATTACCCACTAGGCTGGATGAGATTGGACCAATAAAAGAATAATACAACCTATTTTGGTCAGTTTTGTTCCGTTTGGACCAAACAACATTAAGCGACATTTTTCTTGTTATCATCGAACTCATAAGTACAAAGGGTATAATATTTGCGACCATCATATTATCCCACATATATTTTCTCTCTTCACTCTTCTCTTATAATATACGTGAACTATTACTATGACTATCACAGGACTATTTTTTGTCAAATCTCTTTAACCATTTTCTCTACCTGCTTCCTTCTTCCAACTTTTCAATATGATGTTTTTCAACTGTTCCAAATGTGGTTTTCCGTATCTATCGTTGGACCAATCTACCTAAACAAATATATAGATTTAAAATATAATCATTATTACCATTTTTCTGAACTTATTAGAATTGTAAGTGAGATAATTATGGTATTTATTTATTTGTTTATTTATAAATATATAGTCCCAAACTCAACCACATACGAATATAAGGGCATACTATTATATATATTACTATAGTAACAACAAATATAAAATATGGTGTGATGAATGGTATTTGTACATGAAAGCGTGGGTTTTCATTTTGCGGGGGTCTTTATTTGCAAATTAATAAGGAATAGATAATTAAAATTGGGATTTTATCTGGTCAGGATAACTCTGAAAACCATTTTCATTCGAATTTAATTTATTTATTTATTATGAGACTAGGTATTTACGATAATACATATATGTTTACACTAATAATAAATATAGGTACCTACATAAATGACCCATAGTCTTATACATTTTAAATGGCACATTATTTAAAATAATTTGTTTGATTTAAATTGTTAGATAGTTTTGTTTTGTTCTCACCTTCACACAGCACAGATTTCTTCAAGAAATCATGTACATACCTACATGTAAGTATTTAGAGTTGAGCTAGAAGTCCAGGATTTCGTTCCTCACATATTATTCATGTTATAAGCTTGAGCAAGCAATAGGTATTTTATACGGTTGGCGTTCGTCCATAACATGTGTAGCACGAATAAGGTTTTACAGCACCTATATTAGCATACAATAAAACTGCATATAATACTACGTTAACCGGTGCTGAACGTCGATTTAAAACGATGTGTAGTGTCCTATGGCAAATGGTGGTGTGGTGCTCTTAGTTTCCGACGGAACAAGCGTCGTCCATCGTCCACTTGTGCAAGCATTTGGAGACGGACCATGCGTCGTTTAAACTTAAAATCAACGTTCTGTACCATCATATAACTCTGTCACTAAAAGCTTTCAAAATGGGCAACAAACGATGATTGAACGTCTTGTGGAACCAGTTTCCGCATTCACTCCACACGAACATTTTCCACAGAATAATATATTTCATACGGTGGCGCACCATTTGAAAATGATTTTACAATATTTCTATAACTCATGAGCTACATATCGCAGGTAAATATTTGTCA